GAGGAGGAAGGGCCATCTGCAGAGAAAGAAGCCCAGCTCTCCAGCCACCATGTGCCTGCTGCTGTGGTTGTCTAAGAGCAGGAGAGCCAATGGGAATTGCTGCCCTCACCCTCAACTTTCACTTCCTGCGGAGGTTTGAGATGGTCATGAGACAAGGAGGGAAACTAAGGTATATATGAATGGGCTTGGAAGCCAGTTGGAGGTTCTGGTCGTTTCTCAAGGCAGGGAAATTGGAAGATGCGTGTACGTGTGGGGGAGGGGAATGGAGAGAGGATGGGGAGAGGGAGAGAGCAAGGAGAGATGGGGGCAGGAGGCCAGACAAGCTTCACATCAGAAGAGATCTGAAAATAGTCTGTTGTTTGGCTCTGGGACACCACTCTGACCTACAGCTTCTCATCTACACCACAGGTGCTTGGCTTGAAGCTTAGCTTCAAAACTGAGAGTTGAATCAGGTCCACAGGCCTAGTGGTTTTGTTTTCCAAGCCTGTGTGTGTGTGTGTGTGTGTGTGTGTGTGTGGTGTGTGTGTGTGTGTGACACCATCACAATGTCTCTATGTAGAATATATAACTGATTGCTGCCAGCAGATCTGCTGCTCCCTACTGCCCTCTGCCTGGCCATGTTTCACATAGCTGTGGCCCTGCTGGCGCCTGGGTTCACAGCCCTTGTGTGAAGACCCCTAGGGTCTCTCTAGCTCTTATCCATGGAAAGACAATGGCTTGGGATGGAGGGGTGACAGGCCAGGAGGCAGGGTTACCTTCCCTTCTGACCTGCCACGGGACTGAGGTGCACAGGAGGGTGTTCTTCTACAAAGGGGCTTGGACGGGCTGGCCTAGAGCCCCAAAACTTCTGGGGGGTCGGCTGAGCAGGGAGCCCTGGACTTCCAGCCTGCAAAGTGCTTGATGTACCCCTAGCTGTGCCACCAGCTCAGCCTGAAGATGACAAAGGCATAGCCGGCTGGAAACCACGGTTGCAAGGAGCTGCTCCCCAGGGCACAGCCTGCTATGCAATCTCTGTGTGCCCCCAAGCTCCAGCATGCCCATGAATCTTGGCATTCCGTTACAGCGCCCCAGCCCTAGAGTAACCAGTCCGTGAAAGGGCAAAATGACATCAGAGCAGGAAAGCTGGAAATAGAAGCAAACTCAGCTCCAGTCCCTGGCCATCATCCACAGGGCTTTTTCAAAGTTGGAGGCAGGGCAACAGGAGCAGGACTGGCCCAGCCATGGGG